GAAGAATGTGATAATAGCCACTGAAAAACAAACAAAAATAACAACAGGAAAATAAATCACCTATAGCAAATTCTTGATTCTCTAAACAGTGTTATCTGAAAGTCTCATGATCTCCATATATTCATGCTCATAATCCACTTATGGATGTGGGAAACTTATTACTGTTTTAAAAATGAGGAACTGAGGCGCAAAGAAACAAAGGCTGTGATGTCCAGAACTGTTTAGGCACTTAGCTACTGTGGTTTCACACAAAGCCTATGAGAATAAGGAACTGATCTTTGTGTCCAAGGTCTATTCCTCTAGTCACTGCTTTGTGCGCTTTTTAAGATTAGGTGGTCCAAATTGGCTATTATAACATTTTTTGTGTGCCTATCAACAAGGAGAGTATTTTTTTTCTCCACTTGCTTCTGAAGAGAGGGATGGTTGCTAAGCAAAAGAGTACCCAGCAAGGGAAATGTGAAGTGGTTATATAGATCAAGGCAAGAAGCTGGAATGATGAAGTGAGAACTTATGTTCCCTTTATTCACAGCACTTTTATTAGTGCTGTATTTTTAGACAGCTGAAGTGTTGTTGTAACATCACCACAGCAAGTACCAGGACCTGGAGAAGAGGCAGGGAAGGACAAAAGGCTGTAAAGTACTGAAGAGGGAGGATAAAACTTACACTAAAACTGCTAGATAGACTTGTGGATGTTGAAGACTAAACCTCGTTTAATGGGGACGTATATCTGCTTTAGTTATCGTTATGGTCAATGTTATCCAATAAACTTCTATTAAGTAGATTAGTACCAGAGGGTATGCTTCCTGCTTATGAGCTGGTAATTACCACATCTTGAGCTAAATAAACTTGGAACCTGAAAGGCTGGCACTTTTGCAGGAAATAAATTCCTTTAGCCTTGGTGTTTTTAGTGGATGTGGCAAATCCGAGCTAAACAGGGAACACCAGAGTAAATATACAAAGATGCAGCACGGCTCTGCTCTCTCCGTCACACTGTATCCAGCCACTGGGACAAAACAAGATGGAGTCAAGTTACCTTTGGCATCTACACATTTGTTTTAGGAAGTTTAGTTTTTTTTTTTTTAGGAAGTGTTTTGCCCTCCCCTCTGCACAAGTTGCAACAATATATATATATATATTTATCTGACAGAATAGGATTTAAAGAGTTCAGTCCTTAGCTCAGCTCAGTTTGTCTGTCCCTGCATGGACACTGGAAGGGGTGATGAGGATGATGCCTATTTGACTGCTCAGTGCTGGACTGATTTTAATCAGTTTTAAAGCTAGCTGAAAAGAATTAATATTGACAGGACTCAGGAGCTACTATATAGGTTCAATAGAAGTAGGCCAAAGCACTGACTAAAAGGCCTAAATTTCATCCATCTCGTGGCCCATTTTGGTCAAACCGTATAGTATCACCTAAGAGCAGGGTGAACCTTTGGGTAAAGTGTTGATTTTTCTCAAATCAAGAGGAATTTCACAGCTGCTTTTAATGGATGTGAGGGTTAATTCTGTGTGTCTGCTTGGGAGAATTACAATTAAGCAGAGGAAGGTCTGGTTGTCACGGCCAGTCTACAAGTCCAGAATAAACAGATTTTTCACAATAGTTAAAAGTAACTGCACTGTTTCTATGTAAATCCCTGCACTTGGATTGGCTATTTGGCTGTAAATAGCCAATTAGGCCGCATATGTTGGCAGATTAATAAATGGCCATTTCGCTGTGGCTAAGCTGCATAGCAGTCTGCAGTGTGGCTCGCTGAGAGCATTCCACCGCTGCTGACTTTAATTGTTATTAGTTTGCATTATATGTTAAATAGGGGAATATTTTAATGTAATAGCTATAAGCACTAAAGCTGAGTGAATAATTCATAGCAAATTATTTATTCAATAAATTTAGCCTCCTTTACTCTTCAATTTTTCAGGAACAAGTTTATTATTTTCTCAAAAGAGTGATTATTATCTAGAATTAGTTTCTAATCAGTTTATCAGTGTTACTTGCTCTGCAGATCCTCTGGGTAGAGACTATTTTTGACTAAATCAGTAAGCTATATGGCATCATTGTCTCCCTTGGTAAGATGTGTGTTAGCCTTCAGCACAAATTTCTGTTGGAGATGTAGGTTTAAGCCAAACTGATTCTGCTCCTCCTGTTGCTATTTTCCCGTGATGTGAGGGGGATGATGCCAAAATACTTCTGCCTTGTTTGGGGGCTGGCTTACTAAAAGAGGTCAAAGAGGTTCAGGCAAGTTCAACACTGAGAATTTCTATGTTACTGTGATAAGAACCCTGCACCTTTCAGAAAATGGGCAGAGAGCATGAGAGATACAGGACGGATTGCTTCAAAATCCAGAACTGTTATGAAAAAAAGTGCTTGCTGATAAATGATATCTGTCTCACTAATTGCCAGAAAGCACCAAGCACATGCTTTTGTTATTTGTTCATTTTTTTTTAAATCTCTCTCTCTCTTTTTTTTTTAAATATATATATATATATATATGTATATATTACATCTATATATAGTTATATATAACAAACAGGAGCAAACAATTCCCCTCTCCCACATGTAGCTGTAGCTGTGTACCTCTCCTGACTCTTCACTTCAGAGGTGACAGGATTACAGCTTTACTCTTTACCCTCATCTGGCTTCTCCCAAGCCTGTTCATGCCATTGCTTCGGTAGTTTTGTTGCAGCCCTTCGTGCCTCAGATATGTACCTCGGGCTAGGTGTCTGCCTCAGGTATTTACACTTGTACATGACATCTGATAAAAGTAGAGCTCACCAATGACCCTTGGTGGTTAATAAGCCTTGCAATTTCTTAGCAATTTGCACTGCCCCCTTGTCATCCCCCAGGTTTCCCAGAGGCTGCTCCTGTTCCTCTTGGTGAGGTGCCTTCTGCCTGAAGGGCTCTGGCACAGAGCAGCCTCTCTGTTACTCACAGATCTGCAGGGCAGCACTATGTCCCTCATCTTCCCAAATGCCTAGTGGCCATCAGCATAATCTATTCTTCATCAGCACAGAGGGGGTCAACTGTTTACCAAAGATCAAGTGAGAAAGCAAATAGTTTGGGTAAGCTTGGCTGACAGTCGAGTACAGCTTTATTTAGTAGGATTTGTTTCATACAAATGGCATCCCAAGGTACTTATCAAAGTTAAATAATACATAATAGCAGAGGGAGAGAGAAATTAAGAGGCACAGGCATGGGAGCAGAGATGTTTTCAGATGAGATTTGAAAGTAGATGGAGAAGCAGTGAGGCAGAAAGAAACAACAAGAAAAAAAGGACTGTTCCAGATGGTGGGAGATATGAGGAGAAAAAGCTTTCAGAACAACCATGGTTTGAACATAATTAGGTGCAGAGAGATGACCAGTGCCATTTAGAGGAAAAGGAGACGGACTGGGAAAAGGTCACAGAAAGCAAATAAAGAAATGAGATGGGAGCTGTGGGAGTTTCTTCCATAAACGTCATGGCAGCGATTTGGAAAGCCAATGCACCAGCTAAAAGACTGGTGTGTTCAGCATGGCTGGAGGATGTTGACATGGAGAATTCAAGCAGAAGGGAAAGTCAGATACTGCTGTATCTGTAGGAAAAAATCCTACAGACAGCTGCTTCTGCTTAGCTTCTTGCAGTGGATTCAGACCCAAAAGTTCATATCCAAGTAGGTTTATATGTAAGCTGTTGACTTCTCCCCTCCTTCCTGCCAAAGACTTCATTTTTCTCCTTCCTGGGTTGCAAGAAGCAATTCCATTGCAAAGTTGCTGCATGTTCTTTAGACCAAACTAATTTATTTTTATTTATTTATATATTTATTTTTTAAATCCAATAACCTATGAGAAGGATCCAAGGTGCTGCTAGAGATATAGTGGATTATAGTGGCAGTCAAAGGAATGATTTGTATTTCTATTTTCTATGACCTGAAGTTTTCTTTATTTTGGTGGGTAGAAGAAATATCAGTTCAAGGCACACTTCTCTAATATCAGCATGCAAAAGGAAATAATGCAGGAAGACAGTCTGGTAACCAGGCTGCTTCTGTCTGAAAATGCATTGTGGACCAACTTCTCACCCTCTCTCTCTCTCTTTTATTTATTTTTTTTTTTTTTACTACAGAATTCCTGGTAAAGGGATAATCTTGTATATAAATATTACCAGAACAACTTACATATATATATATATATATATATATATATGTATATATTTGTATATATTTTCATAGGTGTAGGGACTTCTAGAGATATTAATATTTAGGACAAGCCATTTTTATAATAATTTATCTATCCAAAATTTACCTCATTATTTCTTTCAATCTACTGGTCTACAGTGTTATCATATAACATGCAAGAACTAAGAAGAACATTTATTTATTTATTTATTGTTCTACTTTCAGATGCTCCCAGCTGATCTCAGGTGCTTTAGCTAATATTGGACAATATCTTCTCAAGCCATATCACCGGCCACCTTGTTAGGGTGAGGCACAAACCATAGAGAATGGAGAAAGGTCCAGTTAACTCAGAGTGGTTAAAACCTCTCTATTCTTAGATGTTTTAGTGGTTATCAGACTGTCAGCTTCCTTGCTCAGGGCAAGGGTATGAATGTCATGTGTTAAAGGGAAACATATGAGAAATCCTTTTGTCCCCAGATCCATGATAAAAGAGGAATTTGTCTCTCTCTTTTTGAATGGCTATGATTCTGGCATTAAAAAAAAAAAAAAACAAAAACTCCTGGTGCAAAATGCTTATGTGCCAATAAGCCAATTTCTGTAATTATGAGGGCAGCACACTTTGCTAGTAGGTATTCATATTTTATTTAAAATTTTTACTAAACAGTTTGCATTATGATTACCTTATTAAACAGCATCAACAAAAAGCCTCATTCCTTATTCAACAATGCTGTTATTCAAGACAAGAAAAAGTTGTGCAGTTTGACTTTTATGCCCGCAAACATTAAACAATTCTTAATTTACTTTTTACCAAGCCGTAACAGATGCCACTTTCCTATACGCTCTCTTACATGAAGGTCCTTTCACCTGCTAACACACTTCCCTGCTGTCAAGAGGGAAGCTGAGATGGTGCTACTAAATCCCAGCAACTCCAATGATTACACAGACATGAAATGAAACTATTCCATGATTTCCACTCCTGTGTGCAAGACAGACATACCGGTGCCTGTCCAATCTTCACCAGTCACTGAGTCCTATGCTTTTGCCAGTGCTTGTACACCTCTGCTGAGACTTCCCACCAGTAACATTCCACAACAAAAAGTGGCACCTGGAAACTGGCAAATTACTCCCCTGTCCGTCCATGACAGCAGAAGCTACCCACAGAAATGGTGAGTTGTGTTGGATATATGAAAGTCTTGTCTTGTAAATTTTTGCAAGTTTATTCTTGTTGGCCATTCTTATGCTATTGATATGTAGGGATACTTCCTTAGTTATGGTCCTGTCAACTTCAGTGACACTGGGAGGTGATGCAAGGTCAAGATGAAATTTGATTATCTGCTTACTGTACCATATCATGAAGATCTCCATAGCATTTTGTCACACAGCTCCTGGTAGCTCAGGACACTCTTGGGTTAGGGGTCAGTGTTATAAAAATATTTGCCATGGCCTCAGAGGCACTTTACTATTTGTGTTACTGAAGAGCTGGAGAGAGGAGGATAGTGCAGAGTCTCAGTCCTGGGTGAGGAGCAGATGAACCAGGAATGACAGATGAGACACACTATGAAGAAAGGATTGGGCCAGACACAACTACCACATTCCCAGAGGGTTCCTCAAAGCCTCTGCAACACGGACACATGGCACAGCGTGACACAGCAGAGAAATTCATGTATTTTCTAAGAGTAGTTTAAACAGATTATTACTGGACTGTGTGGCACTTTTAGGGATGGATATTTGTTCAATGGGACTGCTATCCTGTTCACTAAGGGGCAAGCATTGTATCTTCATGGCACTACATGGGCAAACCTCAAATTGGAAGAAAGGGACAGGTAGTCCCCATGGATTACACAAAGAAGAAATGGGACATGATCCTTCCCCCCCTTTTTTTTAGTAATTAGTAATTAGTGCCTGGTTTGCTGACTTTATTATTTTTTAACCTTCCTGTCACCAGCTGATCCCATCTCCTTCTGCCCCATGAAGTCTTTTCTTAGCATGATTCAGCCATGAGTACTATCTCCAATCTTTTCTTTGTCCTTCCAACGGTAAGAGAGAATCAAGAGCTTTGTCATTTATCTCTGTTTGTATGTTTTGCCACTGCTTTATTTTGCTTCAGTCAAAATCCTCCTTAAAACTACAAGCACCACTGCCTTTCCATTTAGGTGCAGGAGGCAGCAGCTGCCTGGCCCTGGGCACAATTACACTCCAATAGCTGAGGATGGGAGTCAGTGGCAACCTCATTTCCCCCTCAGACTTCATAAGGAAAAATTCATTTAGCATCTCAGCATGGAGGGCTCTGCATAGCCTCCCCTTTCCCCATGAAGAAAGAAGCATTTGAAATGGCAGCAGGCAGAATATGCAGATTCATCAGATTCATTTCAGTTGTTTCCTCCTTTTGTTGCTTGTTGCTGCTGAGTTTTTCCAGTGCCTCTGCAAACAAATTATTCCCCCTGTCTGTGTGTACTCCCTCCACACTCAGGTGGCTAGCACAGAAAGAGACACCCATTTTGTTCTGTTTGTTAAGCACTTTTTTTTTTTTTCTTCTGTTTTCTAGGAGGGACTGGGTAATCAAGAGACTGGTACTGTGTGAATGAGCTAATCAGCTTCCTGCTCTCCAGAGAACACGTTGTTCAGTGATCACCCACAGCCAGAGAAACCAACCAAGTCTGATGCATCAAACTGCTTCAAATTAAAGACTCAAGTAGATTGTTCCATCATCTGTTCAAATATATGGCTTGCTGAAACATACTCTTCCAACCAAACCTAGCTGTCAGTCAAGTGGTAAAGTATATAGTAGGACTTTTTGACCACACTAACCACTGAAGCTCAGATGCCTTCCTCCATGGCACCCTGTATGCTCACTGGGGCCTGGGATTCTCCCAAGACATAACTGCTGCATAACAGCTGCCGCTACCATTAGCTACATTTGTTATTAAGAAGTACCTTTTTTCTTTCTTTTTTCTTTTTTTTTTTTTCTATTTTTCTTTTTCATTTGTGTGTGTTTCTGGGATGGAATGACAATCTTCTACAAATGCAGAAGAGACACCTTCTACCCTCACTCCCATTTGGGACAGATGTTTGCTGTAGTGAATATACATGACACCTTTATGAAACATTTATGTCAAGGATTCCATATCATGCTAAGCTTCTTGTACTATTTAACCCATCTGTCATTAAAAGTATCTTTGAAACATAGTTTGATAGAAGTCTAAAAAATACAATGCCTGGATTTTTAGAAATCAAAATTTACCATGTAATAGTCCACAGTATCAAGTGCACTTTTGTAATCTGAAAATTAAATACATATCTTTTTCAGCCTTTTCAATAGAATATTATTTTGACATGTTTTTCTACCACCTTACCTTGTTGGAAATACGCAGAAGTCATGTACTTATGTACATAATAAACAGAATAAAAATAAACAGATGTCAGTACTACATGGCAGTATTGTGCTTCAGTGAAAACAATGTAAGTTCATGCTCCTGAACAGTGGTTCCCCATCAAATTACTACAACAGGTATACCATGTTAGAGAGAATAAACCAGGATCCTCTTCCATCTCTTGCCGTCCCGAAAGGTGGACTGAATAATGTTGCATGGAGTGTACCTAGAAGATAGTGTTTATCATCTCTGGGGCATACCACAAACCACCCCTCCAGCCTGAACTGACACAGGACAACTGTTTTGAGAATGGTGGAGCTTTCTGCTAGTACCAAGTGGGCGCTTGAGCAGATGCTCTTATTTCTGCAAAGGTGAAGAGCTTTAGCTGGAGGGATATGGGCAACACCCTCTGCAAAGAGAAAACAATGAAGGATAGGGATAGAAAGTGGGCTTTGCTGAACATATTGTGTGACCAATATGAAGATGTCTGAGACTGGGAACATTGCCTGCTGGGCCTGAGCCTGCTGTCTGGATTGGGGATAGAGAACTGGAGATGTGCATGTTCAGAGTGGGTGAGTTGCCAGTACACTTTTATCTAGGCCTTGGCAATCTTGGAGATCATCAGTACAAAATAAATAGCTGGACTCTCAACCATGCATCGCAGACAGACTCCAGGAGCCTGGTGCAAATGACGCAGGTGAGGTTTTTATTGCAGGGATCATATGCACGATGGGCCAAGTCCTTTGAGGAAAGAGTCTTACCACATATTTGTATATTGTTGAGCTCTAATATTGTCTGGGACTTCTAGGAGCATTGACAACCACGCTGACAAGTGCCTTCCTGATTTTCTCACACTGCACAGTTGCCTATAATGTGACCTTAGAGAAAGCCTTATGGATATCTGCTAGCAAGGAGGGGACTGAAAAGCAGCTTGGGTCTCTTAAGCTAAACCTAAACTTAAAGGAGGCAGAAAGTTTAAAAATATGTCTACATTTTTATTTCTTCCTTTTTTTTTTTTTTTTAAAGTGCAATTTTGTCAGATTGTTATGCTAAAAACTCATCTGGGTGAAGGGAAAGGAGAAAACAGGACATATCCTGTTTTCTGACTGAAATTTTTATCTGATTGGAGCTTCTGAAAGATAACGATGTAATGGACAAAACAAACACACAATCTTTTTAGGCCACGGACATCAATCATGTGGTCTCTCAGAGCATTTGTACTGACAGGTAAGATATCCACCGTCAGTCATGAGGGGCTGCGTGGTGCAGCGGTGTTGCAGCAGAGGGGTGATTGGTCCCACTAGCAGGTTTATGCTGTAGACTGAGAATCAGATGGACAAGCAGTGCCCTTATCAGGCCTGTAATAAAGAACCCTCCCTGGTCCCTGGAGGCTTCTATGAAATGGTTTTCCTCATGTTATCAGGGAGCAGATAATACATGAAGTGCTGAAGTGTTTCTCCTGTTTATTTGAGGAGATATAATAGTACTTTAAGCACTTCAGTAGTCCTCTGTTCAATGCACAGTGACAATGACAAAGATTGAAGAATGCAGCTCAATGGAGGAGAGACGGTGAGTGCAAGTCCATTTTTTTTGCGTACAGACTACTTCTACTGGCATCACAGTCTGTGAAACCATAAGCACTTCCCAACACTAAGGGACATGAGGTAAAACTGAAAGCCACACACACAGCACTTCAGGCCAGTCCATTGTGCAGGCTTCCATATACTGTGTCTAATGTTGGCATCCATGTTTACTTTCAGTTTTTTTTTTTTTTTTTTTTTTTTTTTTTTTTTTTTTCTGGCCTGGACAAGCATCTCAATTTTCTGTTTACTGTGCTCGAAGCAGGGTGGATGGCCGTATCTCCACATGAAACAATTCAGCTCACTTATAGCTTCCTCAGGCAGATAAGCACAGGACAGGCTGAGAAAGCACAGGCCGAGAAAAGACTCTTTTGCTTCTTTCTTGGCTCTTCCTCACAGGTGCTACATGTATTATCCTGGAGAAAAGGAGGCTCAGGGGTGACCTTATCGCTCTCTACAGGTACCTTAAAGGAGGCTGTAGTGAGGTGGGGGTTGGTCTGTTCTCCCACGTGCCTGGTGACAGGACAAGGGGGAATGGGCTTAAGTTGCGCCAGGGGAGTTTTAGGTTGGATGTTAGGAAGAACTTCTTTACCGAAAGGGTTGTTAGACATTGGAACAGGCTGCCCAGGGAAGTGGTGGAGTCACCATCCCTGGAAGTCTTTAAAAGACGTTTAGATGTAGAGCTTAGGGATATGGTTTAGTGGGGACTGTTAGTGTTAGGTCAGAGGTTGGACTCGATGATCTTGAGGTCTCTTCCAACCTAGAAATTCTGTGATTCTGTGATTCTGTGTATTAGAACCCTTTCACTGGTTGTGAAAGCTACCACAACATACCTCCTCCCATACAAAAAGCCCATTCTGTGTAAACAGAAAGAAGTTGTTCCTACAAATCAGGTCTGAAAAGTACAGGTGCATATGCAAGAAAGGATGCCAGCCACCTGGTATTACGTTTTCATCATGTCCCTTGCAAGAGACATGAGAAATCAGTCAATGACAATAAGGAGTAATTTTACATGGCTAGGTGATGAGCTGAGGTAGCAAGAGATGGCTATGAAGGGACACTATGGCATTATGGACACAGTCCTGCTCAACCTTCTGCCCTCCAGCAATTCTGTCGTCATTTCATCTCACATCTTACTGTTTTTGATAAGGTCTGTTTAGACTAGTTGTGGTCCTGGCCTGACTGGCAGTGCATATACAGATGGAATTAAACACAGCATAAGATAGGCAAGACACTGTTGTATGCATTATGTACATGGCATATCAAAAAAGCTGGAGTGCCAATGCGTTTCTAAGCACACATATCTGCAAATCTGCATGGAGCCCCTTATGAAACAGACATCCCACATATTCCAGTGTTGTGGGGATGTGGATATTTGGATAGTGTAAAGTCTTTTTTTTTTTTTAAAATAAACATTTTCACATCCTGGAGTGTGTAAAAGAGTAATAAATGTCTACATTTACAAGTACAAATTTCACCTTATCAAACAGTTTACAGGAAGACTTACTGGGAACTTTGTAGTCTCCACAGGGTCTACTATAAATACAGTATATTTACAGCAAAGAATATACAGAAAGATATCTAAGGGAGACACATTTTGCAGTGAAATTTCTAGTTGTTTTGTGACTAAATGTAATACAATAAAACTGAGCTCTTTGATTATGATCTTCCTTGTATAGGAACACAATGCTACCTGGAATGGCAAAGACTAGATCTCACAAATCAAATGCTTGCAAAACAGCTACGATAAATTTAACATTTTTTTCAAAGAAATTCTAAACCTGAAGTATTGTTTTGTATGTAGTTTTAGTACAAGGTCCTGCAAAGCTGCAAAATCCCTTTTATCCTGCTGAAATGAGCAGACTAGCTGTATCACAAAGTCCAGATGTTAAGTCCACAGTTCAAGGATAAACTTTGTTTGAGTCTTTCATACTTGTAGGCTATTAATATTAGAATAGAAGCATCTTTTGACTTGAATGACCAGTCTTTCAGCCTCTTATCATAAATGCTCATGTATGGGATGTAACCACATGCATACTCCATCCAGCCCTCCACTTCCCATACCCATTGAGTCTATATTTAATTATGAGGGAACTTCTGACTGGATATGCTATCCAAACTGTCTCCAACTTCTATCCGCCTTAAAGTTGTATTTTTGTTGTTATTGTTTTTCCAAATATCCATTTAAGAGTATGGTCATCCACCTCTAGCTATTTGTTACCTGCCATTTTATCTAGACACAAGAACACATCACTTGAGAAAGTCCTTCTTTCTGTTCTCTTCTAGAGAGCTGAGGAAAGGAGTCTAGTATTGAAAAGCCTCTTCAAGCTGTGCAGGTTGGCAGTTCAAACTCAATATTCCAGTCTTTCATAAAGACAGACTTATGTTAAAGCAAATGCTATGCCTCTTAAAAGGAAAAAAGGCAATCTTCCCCATTCAACCTTATGTCTATGCGTGTTTGATTTGCCTTCTGACTGCACTAAAACCATCTTTAAACAGTGTATAATGAGCACAGTGTGGCTCTGCTGTCTTGTAATGCACGATTAGTTTGCTAACAACTTGTTTGAGTAGGCATGTGTGTTGCTTCATGTCTTTAAGATTATGCCTGAGCAGGAATAAAAAAAATCACAATTCTCCTCCTGTTACTCCTACTCTAGCCTTCCTCTGGAGCTTTCTCTCTCTCTTATGTCTGTCTTAATTAGATCATGCCAGTCCTAATTTAAGGATGCGGATTTTAAGCAGGGAGAAAAGAAGGAAACAAAGAGAAAATATACTAATTTTAGACAGAGAAAAATGTGTCTTTTTCCATTAGGAAGAGGGAAGAGAGAAAATAAACTAATAATAATAATAATAATAGTAATAGTAATAATAATAATAAAAAGAGCAAAACCTGCAGACAAAAATTGCACTATGTAGCCGAAGTGACAATTCTATCAAACAGTGCTAGGGAATTGATCTGGAGAGAGGTCTACAGGTGAGTCATTGCTCTGTTACCAGACCTAATGACTCTCTGACTCTTCTGGCTCAAGATATACTACAGAATAGCATTGCCCATTTCCATTTAAACACACCCAAAACATTTTTATAACACTCAGAAACTAGAAGAGAAAACAGTATATATTTAGACTCTGTATGTTCTCCCTTGCTGATCAATACTAAACCTTGACTTTACCTGTGGCAATTGTCCTCTACAGGATTTCTCCAGAGTAAAAAGCTACAGGTGTGTCTGTGGGACAACCACAAAGTTCAGGTCTCCAGACTGTGGAGATTCTTTTCTGTATGTGTGGATGGCATCCCTGCCTATAACTGGGGACTTGGGACTAGGTGGTCTTTAAGGTCCCTTCCAACCCAGGCCATTCTATGATTTTATGATTTAAAACATAATGTTTAGTACATGCTGTATATAAACAACAATGCCCCACCAAAAAGACTTTTGTTATAACTTGTATGGGGAAAAAAATACT